CCCCCCCCCCCCCCCCCCCCCCAAAAAAAACAAACAGCCTAATTCTCAGAGACGGATCTCTCACTCTCTCACAGCTCGGGCATATGAACAGAAACTGTCTGCATGTGCTGTAGTTGCAGTTGAGGTAAACTGACCCTTTGTTCTCTGCCACTTCAAAACCAGTAGGTTTCATATTTCCACCAGAAGCAGCACTGCTGTAGATATGGGTGCGACTGTGGTTCAGTGGGTAGAGCAGGACGGAGGTTCAAATCACGGTGCCTGCAGTCCACATGTTGAAGTGTCCTTCTGAACCCCCCAAGTTGCCCCCGATGGTTAGAGCCATCGGTTGAGTTGGCTGCCTCGGTTCTGTACCGGAAACAAATTCCTTGTGTGTAACATACTTGGCCAATAAAGGTGATTATTATTATATTCTAAGCATCCTGTTTGTTCCTCGGTCAAAAGACAAACTTGAGGAAGAAGATGTCACACAAGCACACGAGCTGTTGACGGACAGAGGATGTCGGCAGACTGCAGCGCAGAAACGACACTGAATGGTAAAACATTAAGCAGCGTTCGATTTTAACGCTTTGTGCAAAAACCAAACTAAAGGGTGAATGTGGGTCCATCAGTGTGTGCAGAAGAGAACCGCTGTGTCATGTGCTCGTCTTTACTCAGGTAATGGAAATCACACAAGACAAGAGCAGTGTGTGTTTGTATTATCTCTGTGAGGACCCGTTTCAGTTCGGTGCGTTCTGAAGGTTTAGATATTTAGTGTGATGGTTAAGTGTTAGCTGCTTGGGAATGCACTAAGCCAATGAAGGGTCCTCACAAACATAGAAGGACAGACAGTGTATGCTGTTTTGACAGAGGGTGGAAGGAGGATGAGAGAAACCTGTTGCGCTGTTTGAAAACCCCTTTGTCCTTCTTATCGGTCGAAGCAGCTGCTTCATCTGCCACACACAGGCAGTGGTGTGGGTGTGTGTTGTGTTGGTCCACATCCAGCGCACAGTGCCACTGTAATTATAGTTGTGTACATAGCAGAGGATAATATATGTAAGCAGTGAGTCTACAGCCACACCAGCAGTTCTCATTTTAAAGAAAAGAACCAGAAAACTAATTATGAGGGATAAACGTAGCGGGAGCGTGTTAACATGTGATAACTAGCACGTGCAGCCTAGCTGGGCGTCATTAGCTCTGGACAGAGTACTGGACACTTTGAAGATGTCGACCTGATGAAGACGCTGCAGAGCTGTTCCAGTTCATCCTGTGAAGCACATGTCGTCACAGTCCGTCGACAGCGCCTGAGACCTTCCGTCTGTCTGGGTCCCAGTATCCACAGTTTCTCACAGCTCACTGGGATCCAGCTACTTCACCATCCTGTCCATTGTTTCATTTCAACTTAAATATCTTATCTTTACAAACTTATGTGTCCCAGTAAACCTCAGTAAAAGCTTCCACACTGAAATGAAAATGATCACCCAGGTACAGTTAAGATGCTTTCAGACAGCGAGCAGTTGCTGCACCTGCCTTTGTTGAAGCTATGGAAATGCAACAGCAGCTGGTGGCCACAGAAACCACGGAGAGGAAAACGATACAGGAGCTGATTCTACTGTATCAAATTTCTGAATGACTACTCCTCCTCACCAGCAGAGAAGTAATACTGGAGCAGCACCAGCTTCAAAGCCTGATTATCTGCTCAGGGAAAATAAACAGTTATTAGTAAATCTTGCTAAATGAGTGACATGCTGCTAAGCTTGTCCTGTAAGTTACAGCCCGCACTGCCTGTCTGCATGACAAGGCTGAAGCAGGTGGACAGCAGAAGTGTGTGGTGCAGGGCAGTCGCAGCCAGGAACCAGGAGTCTGGCACCCTGCTGTAAGGTGGCAGTCTACCTTCATGGGCTGCAGTGGCTACAATGGCCACGCCTTTGTAAACCACGTCCTTCGAAGGACGTGTGCCCTGAATTGAGAGAGAGCTTCCATCTACGACACACTACTATGTGCCAACACACAGTGTCAGGTTTGACCGACTGCACCACACATATGAAAGACGTCCTACACAAAAACAGTCTGATACAGACAACTGCAGTACCAACAAGCATCTACTGCTTCACTGTTTCCCAGAACCATGGCTGGAAGAACCTGCCCAGCAGGCAGGGTAAGCTTTGTAGACCCTGCTCCATGGGGCTGTCCAAAGACTTTGACACATCCCAGCCTTCATAAGGCCCCCCAGGAGAACGTCTGCCCACAGACAGCGTGACGCAGCACGCCAGGAAAGTACAGACTGACAAGGTGACGTTTTACCACAGGGTATACAACGATAAACCGAGGAGCTTCCAGAGATCTAGCAGCAGCAGCTCAAAGGGGAACATAAGAAGTGCTACGACACCATCGTAACCAAAAAACTGCACATCTCCCATCTCATGCAACATCTCCGGTTCAAAGAGGAGGAGAAGGAGGTCACAGAGCAGAGTGCAACAGGATGGCAGCGCACGACAAAGAGTGACTACAAGATGTGGAGTGAGTACCAGCAATCGGCAAATGAGCTGAAGGAGCAGCTCCAACTGAAGGAAAGTGAAATCCTGCAACTCAGGAAGGAGGAGGAGGAGGAGAGTCTCTCCGACAGGCTCGCACAGACCACCAGGCACCTGTGGAGCC